GTTAGATACTCAGGACCGATTCAGAAGTGGATATTGGCTAAAAGCAGAGAGAAATACAGAAAAATGTTTACTTGTGTTTTATTGACTATGCTAAGGCATTTGACTGTGGGGACCATATAAACTTTGGATAACCCTGAGAAAAATTGGAATCCCAGAACACTTCATTGTGTTCTTATGGAATCTATACTTGAATCAAGAGACAGTTGTGCAAACAGAACAAGGGTATATTGCATTGTTTTAAATAAGTTAAGGTGTGCATCAGGGTTGTATCTGTATGCTGAGAAAATAATCAGAGAAAATGGAATATATGAAGAAGAATGAGGCATTAGGTTTGGGGAAAGGTTTATTAACAACCTATGATATGCAGATGACACAACCTTGCTTGCTGAAAGTGAAGAGGATTTGAAATATTTGATGATGAAGATAAAAGATAAAGCCTTCACTATAGGTTACAGATCAATGTAAATCACACTAAAATCCTCATAACTGGACCAGTAGGTAACATCATGATAAATGGAGAGAAGATTGAAATTGTTAAGGGTTTCATCTTGCTTGGACCCACAACCAATGCTCATGGAAGCAGCAGTCAAGAGATCATTGGACGTATTGTATTAGTTAAATCTGCTGCACCAGACTTCTTTAAAGGGTTGAAAATCAAGGAGGTTACTTTGAGGACCAAGGTGTGCTTGACCAAGCCATGAGACTGCAACAATAGTTTCAAACGTAAGAACGGTTGTGATAATGGTGCAGGACTGGGCAGTGTTTCATTATCTTGTATACAGAGTCGCTGTGAATTGGAACCAACTCAACGGCACCTAACAATGACAACAACTACAACATATGTGGAATAATCCTCTTTTCAGTTTACTCTTTCTGAAGGCAAGACTATTCACCTCCCTGGTCAATGATCTGCAGAAGTTCAACGGAGGCTTAATCCTAGTGGGGACTCTGGAAATGGGTATTGGTCTTTTACTGTCATCCATAGCCTTCTGCACATTGACTGTTTAGAGTTGAAGCTCTAATACTGTTGGACATTGATTAAGAAAGATGGTAGAAGAATCAATGCACTTGAATTGTGGTACTGGGAAAGAAAATTGAAAGTATAACCGACTGCTAAAAGAACCAATCAATCTGTATTGGAAAAAGTAAGGCCAGAGTGCTCCTTGGAGGCAAGGATGGTGAGGTAATTATTTGTGCCAACCTGG